CCCCAAAACCCCAAAACCCCAAAACCCCATATAGAAACATTAAAATAAGTTGAGAGTACTTCATTAAAATCAAATAAAATATTTCAAACTCTCTTCTTGAGTGTTTACCCTCCATGAATAATCCTCTCTATCATTGAATTATGAATGCTTTTCATAACAAAATTTTCATTTTTCAATAGATTGCTTAATAATTTCCTCTTTCTATGATCAACTAATGGCTGCTTCTTGCCTATTTTTCCATCTTCGAATTCCAAAGAATAATAATTTTACGCTAATGCCATTTCTTGTGGCATATCTTCTTAGGCACTAAATAACCTATTTGAGGCTTACTTATAAGGATATTATCCGATTTATTAACCACTGTTTATTATTGAAATATAACTTTGCTTTGACCTTTCATAAATTTTACTCTCAAGATAATCTAAAATGCCTGGAATTTTCTTTTTGTTTAAAAAATCACTCATTCTATCAGTAGGTCCAGTTGGCTACTCAAGAGATTGATTAACTTAAGAATTTCTCAAAATAGTTAAAGTCTAGTCAAATATATTATGCTTGCTTCTTGGAGAATCAATTGGTGAAATAGTTGAGTTCATATGATTAATTTAGGATGGTCTTTAATTCTAATGAGTTTTTATTCTTTGCTAGACTTATTAGATAAATGGAGCTGAAGATAATCTACTGTGGAAAGCTCCAGACATCGTCCTTGATTTATGATCACCAGTCATGTAGGGCTTTCGAGCATTGAAAAATCCAAGGGGTATTGGTAGTAATGGCTCATCCTTTTAATGTAACTTATTGAACTTTGTGAATAAAACGGGTACTCTCTAATTTTCAGATCCTCCATCATATGTCTATTTTACTTTCATATCAGTTCTTTCAAGAGATATCATAAATTTTCTGGTTTCAGGACCTTAATTTTCTTTTGGTACATCACTTTTATTCATTTAAGAGCTGTTCTAATTTGCCCTTGACATTATTGAATCTCTCATCTTCGCTTCAACCTACAAATATTGATACATAATGAAATGATATTTACCTTTTTCTCATTTTACTTTTATGTCCTGGATGGACCTCTTTAAATTTATAAGTTCTACACTCCAAATAACTCTACATACTACTAGTCTTGTCTAAGAGTTTCTTTTAGCTCTTCTTCTTATTAAGTCTATTATCTGGATTTAAATCTCCCTAAATGCTTTTAAATTTCTACAAATTACTTTTTCTTTTACTTAGATTTTATGATTATGATATCGTAGTATCATCTCTACTAAAGTCATCTTATGTGTCTCGTTAAGCATTAATTGTACGACTTAGATGCTTTTGCCTTGTTGCTTTATTTTTCTTTTACTTAGACATACCCTTATATAGATTCAAGATGATAGAGTCAAATTTTTCAGCTGGTGGTCTATCAACATGTGAAGGCAAAGATGCTATTAATTCTTTGGCTGGAAGTAAATCAGGATCAGGAAAATCCTATATAAATTGGTTTGTTTTATAGATAATGTTTTTGACTAACCTCTTTTAGATATGATGGTATGATTTCTTTTCCATTCTTATTAGTCTTTTATTGCCTTAAACGTTTTAGAAGCTGAACGCCTGCAGAGTTTGGATCATAATTAGATATTTCACTAAAAGTAGTTGATACCTCTGATCCTTAGTTATCCGCTCCTTAATTACTTTATCAATCAGCTGTTGCCTCTTAATTACTTTGAGATAAAGGATCATCATTAATTTATTGCTATTTTTTGTTAGATTTTTTCAGCCTTAATCCATATTGACGCTTTTTATCTAGATGACTTTTAATACTCTCATCTAGTCCCCCAAGCAGATCTATATGAGGATTCAAGACATCAATTATTTTTGTATTCTTTGTTTAGTGTGTACTCGTTACATCGCCTTTTTAAGAATTATCATTATTTGATGAAGTGGAAAATGGCTAGCTGAGCTGTTATAAAAACCCATTAGCTATTTATGATGATAAATGTATTCTTGAATTAAGTGGAAGTGCTGTTCAAAGATGTGGAGGGGAATTCACTGAGTAATTAGATGGGGATGACTCACAAGGCATATTTGTTTTTATTGTTTTTCTAATTTGTAACTTGTAAGAATCTCCTTGATTTTGAACTCCTGCTGTTTTAACTTATGATCTCATTTTATTTTAAGTAAAACTTTTTTATTTTTGTTAATTTAGTATTTTTGATGAGACTAATTTCTTGACGTCAAGTATATTCGCTT